GCTAACCTGTCTTGGTGGGCTCCAGGTGGGACCCAAGGGTTCACAGATTAAAGAAAAAAGCACCCCAGGCAATTGTAACATGGACCCAGCGCTGGGGAGAGAGTCCTTCTTTTGCCAATGCTACCTGTCCCCAGCTCTGCAGACCCCCTGCCTACTTTCCTTATTTGACTCTGTGGTATTTCTCTTCACTGGGACCCTGTGCAGCTCTCCTCTAATTCCTTCCTAAGCCCACCCTCTCCTTCCCAGAAGTAGGGGTGGGCTTCTTGTCTGCAGTAGCTGGACCGCAGCCCAGGTGGGGTGCCCAGCATGAGCACGGACAGGAATGCTGACCTGTGAGGTGGGCCTCAGGCTCTGTCCAACTGGCATGGGGGATGCTCTGTCACATCCCTCCCTGGGGCAGCAACCCATCCCCAGGCAGGACTCTGCAGACCCTCCAATGAGCCTAGAAGGAGAGAGTTGACCTTGGGCCTCCCTTCCAATGCCTGGCCCTGCCTCCTTCTGGGTGCCAGTCGGCACCTGTTCTGGCCTGCTACTTTCCAGGTGGTGAGTACGGGCGATCTTATTTGCAAGCTCCAGGCCAGTTGCTCCTCTTCCTCTCCTTCTGGTCTGGCATCTCCTTCCCACGACTCCACCATGCTTTGGAAGTCCCAGCAGCTGGGGGTTTTCCATGACCACAGAACCTGGGTTCTTGTGCACCTTTTAAAAATTCAATTCCAGAGCTTCTCTGCTGCGAGGATGAGGGGTGAGCAGGAGCTGCATGGCATACGTCACCTGGAGAGATGCAGCCCAGTCCCCTCGGGCGTGCAGGCCCTTCCCACTTACGCAGGAGCTCCCAGAGGCAGGCTACCAAGCTGCCAATGCCCCTGGCATTTGTTTGAGTTCAGCTCTTTGAAAAGGAATTAGAGGTGTTTTAAGCTGGGGCCTAAGGGAAGGAAAGAGGGAGTGTGCCTCCAGGCAGCCTGGCTCTTGCAGGTGCAGCCTTCCCAGGAAGGATACCTGGTATACCTGGTACCCGAGGGCCAGTCAGCTCCTCCTACTGCCTCCACTGGCATAGATCCAAAATCCATGCCGCTTCCCTCTTCCTTTCAATGCCTACTGCTCCCAGCCCAGCACACCTTACTCCTTACCTTTATTTGACTCAGCGATATTTCTCTCTGCCTGCCTATTGCATATTTAGACAGTTACTAAATATGACATACCCTTACACTTTACATATTGACATGTGTTTATTGTCTGTTCCCTCACCCACCCCCCAGTGGGATGTAGCTTCCATGAGGACAAGCGCTAATCTGATCTGCTCGTGGTTCTGTCTATGCACCTGCAAGAGTGTCTGCTGAGGCAGGTGCTCAGCACAAGTTCACTGAATGAACGAGAATGAATGAATGTGGAGATGGGTGGTGGGTGGCATCCCCGCCCCCACCCCGCTATGGCTGAGCTCAGCACTGCTAGGCTCACACAGCTCAAGGCCACAGAGCTAGGATTCTGAGCCTTTGTTTCCAAGTCCTGAGCCCCATAGACCACTACATGAGACCCAGCCCCATCCACACACTTAGGATACCCCCCCATTCCCTGTGTTGCTGTCATCTGTTAAACCTGTTGGCTCCCCAGAGCCTCTGGCAACTCCAGCATCCTGGCTACAGTGTTCTTGTCCTGCAGGAGGCCTGCCACCTTTCACGGCAACTTCAGAAGTCACACAGATGCTCCTTCCAACATGCCAGCCCACCACACCTCCACCACTGCCCCATGGTCATCCCCAGTAGTACCACACTTCCAACACCCCCTGCCCTCTCCTTCTCACTCACCAACCAGCACTGAGTCCATCCTACCCTCAGGCAACTCCCAAGGTTCAGAGCACAGGACTTCACCCTTTGGTCTGCCTTCTCTTGCCCAGTGTGTGGTTGGCCATGCATCTGCTCCTACCCCTGGCATCGTAGCCAGTAAAGATCCAACCTTGGTGAAACCCAGCAGGACTGCTCACTCACCATCCTTTTCCCCTTAAACACATGGTCACAGGTAGCAGAGGCACTGGGGACTGCCCAGTGTCATTAGGACACTACCTAATGGAGGTGTCCCACTGCCACCACCAGCTTTGTGCCCTTCCCCTCATCTCACACTCAGCTGCGTTCTTCTGTGCTGTGGACAGAGCTTCTTGGCTAGGCCTGCCCTGGGTACCAGCATTGGGTGTGCACTGTCTTATTACACCGAGTGTTTTCTAGTCTTTTCTTCTTCACTCACTAGTCCATTAACCACCCCACTCTTCCTCCACTAGAGCCCTGCATCTCTGACTTCCCAATGTCGAGAACAAGGTCTGTTATATTTTAGGCACTCAACTAATATTATTGAATAGGGTGGAAATTATTTTCCTTCTATTGTTCCTTTGATCTCATGGTAACTGAGATGATCATGACTTCATACCTGGAACTGCAGTGCCACTGTCTTGAATGACATATTTAGTGTCTTAAATGTCTTAAAAGACACAGTCTAAAATGACAATTCTAAATCTCTGGGGCCTGGATTGCAGATTTCTCAGCACATCAAAATCCTCAATCTCAACACCATGCCAATGGTTAATTTCTGGCAAGCATCAGAACTGTTTTCCTGTTTGCAAACTCGAGAAAGCATTCCTGGCAGATACCCTCCTGGCAGAGACTTGTTGATGCTATGTGTGTGTGTGTGTGTGAGAGAGAGAGAGAGAGAGAGAGAGAGGAGAGAAGAGAGGGAGAGACGCTAGGCCTACATTCAATAAGAAGGGCCTTTTGTGGCATGGCATTCTGGGGATTCCTTGAATCCCTTCTCCAGGTCACCCCAACAACAGGGTTTCGGCTCCTGCCCCATGGATTCGGTGCTCTCTGTGAAGTAGGCTAACGGCAATGATGGATGCCTATGCTTTCAGGAGTTGACCAGATGTCCCCACGCCTATTTTCTCTCTTGATAGTCACGCCTTTAATATTGTAGCTTTGTTTAAGTTCAAGTAAACTGCACTTTGGAGGGAAAGATTTTTTTAAATTGTGGTCAAATTCACATAACATAAAATTCACCATCTTAGCCATTTTAAAGTGATACCTCAGTGGCAGTTAGTACAGTCACATTGTGGGGCATCATCACCTTTCTCCAGGTCCAGAACATTTTCATCACCCCCGTAAGCAGTGACTCCCCACTTCCTACCCCCCAAAACCTGGCAACTACTACTCTGCTTTCTGTGTCTGTGGCTTTGGCTATCCTGGACAGTTTGTATACATGGGATCGCACAACACTTGACCTTTTGTCAGCAACACTGGCCGCTCTCACGTACCGTGTTTTAAAGGCTTACTCATGCTGTGGCGTGAACCACTACCTCATCCCCTTGTGTGGCTGAATGCTCTTCCTTTCTGTGCTATGCTGTAACTGCGTGTCATTCATTCACTGATGGAACCCTGGGTCATTTCTGCCTTTTGGCTGTTTTGAATAACGCGGCTTTAAAATGGGTGTGAGAATACCTGTTGGAGGTCCTACTGCAGTTCTTTTGGATATCTCCCTAGCAATGGGGAGACTGGGGCAGGTTCACTGCAGAACCGCCTGCCCACAGCTGGGCTCAACCACACTTTTTAGGTAGGTAGCAGAGGATCGTGCAGAGCGGATCCTGGCTTCTTTCTGCCCCAGGCCATCCCTGACTCCACTTCGGTTCCTCCTCTCAGCCCCTGCCAGCCAAGGGGAGCAACTGCACGCATGTAACGCCTCATGCTCCCTGGAAGGCTTCTCAGGAGAGGGGACTCCTGACCCACCTGAACCCACCAGAGCCAGTTCCTGAGAGATGAGAAGGTTTTCAGAGGCTGTTGAGCAAGACAGAGATGTAGTACTGGGAGCGGAGGAGAGGCTACAGTTCAGATGGTGGGTGGGAAAAGCTTCGCAGAGCTCACTCTGAGCTATGTCTCAGGTCATAATTCCTATGGCCAACACCTGCTGCATTGTGCATGGCCAGGCTTGGTTCTAAGTGCTGATCTGCATTGTCTCATTCATCCCACAACTCCAGGAGCTGGGAACTATGGACACTCTATTACACAGATGCATAGACTAGGGCTCCAGGATGCTAACTCGCTCCCAGCATCCCTGAGGCCCTAGCATCTGTGCCTTTAACCATCAAGCTGTGCAGCCTCTCCGTGGTGGCCCCAGGAGAGGAGCTGGGCTAAAAGAGACAAAATCTCTCACTCGTGATTGTACACTAGAGGCTGGGGGGAGAAGGAGGATTTGCACTCATGCCTGGGCCTTGACTGGCTTCTTTGATCTTTGTCCACACTTCAGTTTCCTCAGCTATGAAACTTCTGCTCTCGAATTGTGACCGTGACCATGAAATGAAATAACAGATATGACTACTGAAGGAAATCTATAAAAAGCTCAGTCATTGAGACCAGCAGATGGTATAATGGTTACATCACTAGACTCCCACATAGTCAACCATGGTTCAAATCCCGGACCTGGCAGCTTAAATTCATGCTTGTTGCATGTGCATGCGTGCCCAAGATCCCGAGAGGAGAATGGAGGAGAAGAAGCGATTGCGGCGGGGCCATTACCCCTTGGGGGGGGGGTGATTTCTCGCTTTCTGTCTCTCTGTCTCTCTGTCTTTCTGGCGAACGCACATGCTCTATAGCAAAAACCTCTCTCTGAAAAAAAAAGAAAAGAGCAGAAAGAAATCTCAGTCATTTTCAGGCAGGTAGAAGTCTTGTTCCAGGGGCACATGGATGAACTGGGTCGGTAGTGGAAGATGCGTTGGTAGGAGTGAGGACTTGAGAGTCCTGGGTGTATCTCTGCCTTTAGTCGCTGTGAGTCAAGGTGAGTCTCTCTGCTCTCAGCTTAGTTCCTACCCTGAAAAGCAGGGACCTGGGGGGCCGGGCATGCCGAGGAGGCCACCCTATTCTCACCACCAATCCAACCTCTGGGTGATTCTGATGTGGACATCAGCTGACCCAGCAGTGTGTGTTCAAAGTCGCTAACTGCCTTCTTCCGTTTTTCCTTTTTGTTTAAAGAGACACTTGTCACCTGAGGAGTTCCAGGAAGTGTTTGGGATGAGCATTGAAGAGTTTGACCGCCTGGCCCTTTGGAAGAGAAACGACCTCAAGAAGAAAGCCCTGCTGTTTTGATGGCCGCCGACGTGCCTGACCACGTGTGTTTGCAGGGAGCAGAGACGAGGGATCCCTGGCGAGAATCACGCAAAAACCCCCCTACTGCACCTTGCTCTGGCTTCTCTGTGTCCATGGGGCGGGTGGTGGGTGCCTGAGGGAGGCCAGCTTGGGGGCCGGAGAGTGGGAGGGGGGCTCTCCCAGCAGGCACAGCCCCTGTTTCTGCTTGTGACACTCCTGCCTGTAGTTTGGGGCCAAGTCTATTGTCACACCATCCCTTCCCCACTGTGGCTGCACATCAGGGAGAGGCTACCGAGTAGCCGTCGTAGGAAGCAGGACGGAGCGTTCAGAGGGCTGCAGCCCACCTTCCCAGAGTGCTCCAGGTTCTGGGGGTATAGAAGTGGCCGGGACGTGAGCTGTGAGGAGGCCTGGCAATGACAGATGCCAACACATCACGGGTTAGTGGGCACAAAAGCTCCTCACCGCTGAGGGACAGTCTGGCGGGCAGACTTGAAGGCTAGGGCAGGAGAGGAACGCCAAGTGTTCAGGGCATGCCAAGCACAGGCGCACACTTTTTGCAGCTGTCTGCGATGGGTCTCAGTGAGGAACACCAACCTGGACCCTTTCCTCCAGGGCCCCTCCGTGCACTGCATTCTTCTTCCAAATCACCCCCGAGATGCCTACATGATATCTTTAAAGTAACACAGAAGTTTTTATTTTATTAAAAAGCATAGCCTACTGAAACATAAGATACATATATAAAGAGTTTAATTTTACGGTCCCTCTGCGGGGGAGCGCCTCCAGCCTTATTCTCCACCGTTCAGATCTATGTGGTTTTGGTTCTTGGTGTGTTCTGAATAGATAGGACTCCTCGTCTGTTTTCTTTTTTTTTTTCCTTTTTTCCATGTGTCACACAGGTAACCTTAAAGACAGACCCTTCTAAATAATGCTGTTTGTAAATACGCGTGAAATATGGTCACTACTGTTTTCCTCGCTGTTATTTTTCCAAGTCATGGAGAGAAAACATCCCCCTCTGATGGCCAAAGCCCTGGAATAAAGGATTTCCACGTATCCAGCCTAATACCTGATGTAGCTTTGGTGTCCTGTCTTTGTGATGTAGCCTGAAATGCAAACCACACACACCCTGGGAAAGATAAGCTCCTGTGTGTCCCTGAAACAGGCTACCAGGCTCTGGGGAGAGAGGAGTGGAGGTTTGCTCTTCTACGTTGCTATGCCCACAGAGTGTCCAGGAGCAGGGGCTGGCCAAGTCCCCCAAGTGAAAGGCATCTGTGTCCACTGGTAGGTGTGGGTGCAAGCGCGGTGCCTGTCGCGAGGTGCTGGCAAGGTGCACTGAGAACTATTCGCCAGTGCTCGGTGGGCGTCACCTCTTCGTGCATGTCCTGGTTGTCTCCTCCTGTGAGTCGTCTTTACTCAGCTTCCCCATGGCTCATAAGATGACAAGTCACATTTCCTACCCAGCTTCTCACTCAGCTTGGCGAGGGAGGAGGACGTTTTAGCACCTAATACACTTCCTGCCATTTAGCAATCTGAGCCCGGCAAGTGGAAACCCCCATCTTCTCTTCGTGGCAATGTCCTATCTGATCCCAGGGTTGGATGCTTGGGAAAATAAAAGGCAACGTATTATAACTTGTCAGAGTACAGAGCTGCTGGTTATGGATTTGTGTGACTTCTACAGGCACGGGCCCCCTTGTGAGGACAGCGTTTGTGAAGAGTGTTCGAAGTGGATGCTTTGGGTGTGTGAAGAGAGCAGTGGCCAGGCCTTCAGCAGGGGACTGTCTACGAGAGGAATGCCACAGGACACCCCGTCCCATCGCAGCGAGGGAGGGCTGAGCCTCTGTTCATCCGGGAGCATTCCTCAGCCCTACTAAGGGCTAGCTGCTAGGTTCTGATGGAGTGCCAAGGGAGGCTGGGGAGACCTGCCAGCACTCAGGCAATGCCAGGACCGAGGGCTGCTCTGTGAAGGTCCACAGGAGGCCCCTTGCACATGCCTGACGGCAGGGGAGCCTTCCCAGAGAAGGTGCTGTCCAAACCTCGTCTTGACAGATGGGAAAGTATTCCCAGAAGACAGTAGGGAACGGTGTTCTGGGCAGATGGAAGGGCAGGAGCAGAGGCACTGAAGCGGGGCACAGCCTCGAAGGTTCTGGTAAATTTGGGAGCCGGTTATGCTGAGCGCAGGGCTAAGGAAAGGACTGGAAGGAAAGAGCATGCAGGCAGGGCTGCCACAGGGGAGAACCAATACCACCATGAGATTACATATCTCATAATCTCTAATTGTATTCCAGTGGTGTTAACGATTTTCATGAGTATTGGGTCCTCCCTCACCACCACCACCAAAACCTGTTCACGCGTATAATCTGTCCCTGCTTCATAAACGGCACCACCATCGGCCCACGTACGCAAGTCAGAGACTGGCAGAATCTCTAAGGTTCGTTCCCTCAGCACTGAAGGACAGCCCATCAGCAATCCTGCTAACTGCCTCCCAGGCCTGGGTTCGCATTTCTCCATTTGCACAGGTGCCAGACCAGGACACTCTGAGAACAGAAACTGGCACTCTGACCTTGACCCTGGGACACAGGTGTAAGCCTGGCTTGTCTTGGGCAACCCAGAATATGTGGTCACTCTGATTACACACAGGCCACCCTCGGCTCTCATAGCATAAGCTCCGCAGCTGGCCCTCTGTTGCCACTCTCAAGTGGGCAAGTCATTTCCCACCCAGCAGCCACACTGATGCTTTGCGAACATCAGTCAGATCATGCTAAGCTCCCAGCTTCCCACGGCCTCTAGAGCCGGGCCTTTACTGTGTCCCAGGAGGCTGGACTGGACTCCTGGCCTCCAGCTGTGTGGGTAGGTAGGGACACTCACCACTGTGCTAGCGAGGGCGGGGCTCGCTGAGTCTTAGAGGTAGAGAACAGCGTTCTGTGTCTGGGAGGCCTGGCCAGGTCGTACTCAGCTGCTTCCTTTAGTTCTCCAGGAGCCCCAGCGGTGTTTTGCTCTCCTCCTCTCCAAGTCAGACATCTGGAACCTTCATCTGGCGCCTCAGGATGCCTTCCCACCCCATTTGTTAGCCCCTCGGGTGCTGCTATGGGGCCAACTCTTCTCCTTGCTGCAGTCTGCTCCACTCCACATTCTGGGTCCCCAGGCTTCCTCTCCAGAGATGAAACCCATCTATTGCACAGGTTAATGTAAATTACATAGGTTAAAGCTAGACCATTCCAGAAGCAAGTATCTGTTACCCATGGTCCTCTCCTCCCAAGCCCCCTTCTCCCAGAGTGGATGAAATCTGTGGTGTTGGGTAAGCAGTCCCCTTTTCCAAGGAGGGCTGACAGGTTGAGTGAATGTTCTGCAGAGAGACTTTGCCAGGTCCTCCTGTGTCGCAGAGCCAGGAGGGGCATGTCCCTAAGCATAGGAGCACTTTTGTGGAATTAAATGGGAAAGATCAGTGCTTCCCTGGTGACTGCTGGAGGCTGTCAGGCCTATCGTTGAACTAGGCCCCATGAGTAATAGAGGATTCCTTTTCTCATGCCTGAACTGTGAGGTCTGTGAATGCTTTTCTCCACACTGTTTCTCCATTTGCAAGCCTGCCCCCCATCAGCTCCTCCTTCCTCCATATTCTGAATCTCTCTATGCTAATATTTTTATTCTATGTCACTTCCTCCATGCAGTCCATCCTCCACCCAGCAGCCCATAGCATTCTGTCAGTCATGCAGGCCTGACTGTGCCATTGGCGGGGCCCCCGCACTTGTTCCAAAGGGAACAAGGTGTCTCTAAAGTCCAGACTCCTTCATGGGCCATCATCAGGGCTCAGCTCCCTCTTAACCTATTTTCTTTTTAAAATTTTGCCATAAGATATGTGCATTTACTGGAGCAGAGACAGAGACACAGAGAAAGAGAGAGAACAGAGCACTCCCCAGGGAGAGTGACCATGCTACAATCCCTTCTCCATTCTTCTCTCAGGATTCTGGGCAAGCACGCACGTGTGCCCAGTGTGTTTGTCAAGCACCTACGTCAAAGATCCAAACCATGCAGTTAGCCAGATGGGATCTAACCTCTAATATCCCTTAATGGAGTAGCCCTTAACCTCCACACCATCCGCAGGTCCCCTCTCAGCCTCTTCACCCCTCCCTCTTAAACCTTCACTTTTCAAATAACATCTTCTCTTCCCTATTCCAAACAAGTCTGTTCTATGCAAAGGCTCTTCTCTCTCCCAAAATGTCCCATATGGCAGACTCTTATTCTTTAATACCCTGCTGAGATGTCCTCATCTCTGCAGAGACTTCCATGATAAGATCCTCTCCTCCCTAACTGTTACACCCAAATAATCAAGTTTATCAATAGGTAATGATAAAACTGAAACAAATAAGGCACCATACCTGACCTCAAGAACTGATCTCAAACCATGGCAAACCCATGGAGGAGACAGGAACAGGCAATGGCAATCCAGGACAGTGCTGGTACAGAGGCAGGGAGTGTAGAAAGCCCACCAGGAGTAAGGCAGAGTGTTTGGGAGCTACTGACACCAAGTTCCACTGAAACAGAGTTCAAAGGGGTGACCAGAGGTCAGCCAACAAAGGCTGGGACAAGGAAGGTCCGGGAAGAGGCTTTCCAGGCAGGGGAAACAGCTCAGGCAAAGGTCCAAAGACAGGAAGCTGCATGCACATCCAGGACCGGTGGCTAGACATTAGTTCTTTGCCATGCTCCACAATAGCCTACATGTGTCTCCGGTGAGGACACTCCTTATTGGCTCAGAATTCTCTGTGCGCTTTGCCAGGGAGACTCAGCCATGCCCTGCCTGTGGCATTTCGGCAGTCACCATTCCTGGGTAATCTGCAGGTTTTCCTGCAAACATCTGCCACATGTGGGGTCTTGCTCAGCCTGCATGGGAGCAGGCCTGGCGGCGTGCCAAGGAGTAGTCCTTAAACAGGTAGGCACTCTCTCAGTAGGAGGACAACTCTGAGGATGTTCCACACTGGGATTGAGCCCCAGATGCCCTCAGTGGCCACCACCTCATTAACACCCTCTCTTGGCTCACTTCCCTCCCAACCCTGTCCCTAACCCCTGCTAGCACCTCCTGGGATCACTTCCCATGTACACCACTTGGACTCAGGCCTGCTTTTGGAGAAGGCAGCCTCAGATGCCTGTGTTTCCACAGCCTCACTTGCCCACCTGCCAGGGAGTACGAAGGTCCCAGTGCTCTGGTCTTCCCCAGTGTAAATGAACAAAGCACAACCTGGGGATAGTATAACCCTCTGGGGACCATGGAGGGCAGGTGAGCAACGGTTGCTACGGCTGCTGTGATAGGGAGCAGCAACTCTCACCAGGGCCTCAGCCCCACTGCTTCCAGAAAATTCTCACAGGGAAGCGCAGGGCTGCAGAGACATTGCTCTCTCCTTCCCTCTCCTGGAGGAGAGGGCAGCACAGAGTTGGTAGAGCACAGCACAGCCTGTCCTGCCTGGAATCACTGTGCCATCTGACCCCTTCTTTATGCAGGGTGATCTTCCAGTGGTCCAGGGTTGTCAGCTCCAGGATGGCTTCTAAAAGGCCCTGCCCATCAGCATGTCTGAGCATGGATCAGCCCCAGTTTGTTTACCAGCTTCCAGCTCTTGCCCTCAGCCCTTCTAGGCCTCTGCAAGTCAAAGTTTACTGAATTCCTGCCTTGCTGAATGCTTCTGGCTCCTTAAGGTGCTTCCTAAATGACTTGTGACACTTTAGGCTGTCTAACGCCATCACTGCCCAGGAGAGCCTCAGAGCTCATCAACCAAAATATTTTGTTACCTACCTCTACATGAAAATCTATGATTTCAAATTCTTCTCCTTCCTCTCGCTCTCTCTCTCTCTTTTTAAGAAAGAATTATTTTACTTAACTTTATTTATTTATTCATTTTAATTTGACCAGAAATTCTTCTTCTTCCTCTCGCTCTCTCTCTTTTTTAAGAAAGAATTATTTTACTTAACTTTATTTATTTATTCATTTTAATTTGACCAGAGAGGGACAGAGCTGGGGGTGGTGGTGGTGAGAAAGCAACAAAAGGAACTAAAACACGTATGCTCCAGGTTTAGGACATGATTTTTTTGGATACATAAAAATGCAGACACATAGCTACATTTAGCACATGGTTACTGTAGTGAATCAGATTAATTTACCTATCATTCCACATTGTAACTATTTTTGTGATAAGAGCAGCTAAAATCTACTTATTTAAGAAAAAATCTTAACTGTGTGGCTAACAGACATACCTGAAGTTTATTGATTCACAGTTTTGGGGGCTGGTAAGTCCAAAGGCATCAAGAGTGGTGGAAGGCAGAACTCTGAGCAGGTATCCCTGTGGCCTCTGCTTACATCACTTCCCTTCCTTTTCTACCTGCCAGGACTCACTCACAGGGGGCCCCACGCTAACCATCTAATCACTAATTTTCTTCCAAAGCCTTACATTGCAACAGCATAATTGGTTAAAGTTTTCACTGAGCATCTTTACAATACAATCAAACCCAACATTTTGGGGGAATATCCAAAAATAGCATGTATTTATTATTTATGTTCTTTTATAAGTAAGGAAAAAAACTCAAAAGCAACAAGTGAACAAAAAATAATTGTTTCATTGATCTTTTGT